CATGACCCAAGCGAAAGTCGGACGCTTAACCGACCAAGCCACCCAGGCGCCCCGAGCAACTGACTTTTAAGAGCCTGCTTAAGATGCTCTTCCCTCCTCTGCTCCTCTCTCACACACTCACTCTAAAATAACATTTTTTTTAAAAAAGTGACTATTATGGCACACCCACATTATAAAATGCTATGGAGCAATGAAAGAAAATGAAGTCAGTCTATGTATAAGAACAAAGAAAGACCTCCAAAGTAAACTGCTAAGTGAAAAGAAAAAAAAAAGTCACAGCATAACATGTTTGGGGTGAGCCCTTTATGTTAAAGAACAGGAAAAGAAAAACCCACCCAAAAGGAAAAATATACATTTCTATGGGCATGCGTATTTGTAAGTAAATAGATAAGAAAGACCTGGAATGATACACATCAAAGTGGTAGTAATGGCTAAATTTAGGGAGGGAGTAGAGGCATGCAGTCAGAGAGACTTGAAGCTTTAAATTTCTTACAAAAACCTATTTTCTTGTTTAATTCAAAATAATGTTATTTTTCGTAGCAAGAGCAGGGAGAGAAGAGTGTCTGAGAATGAGCGGTGTTGGTTGCTTGACTAAGGGGAGGATGCTGATGATGGGAATATCAAGAAAATGGAGCACCACCAGGGGGCACCGCTGAGGGCCAGTATGGAAGAAGGGAGGACAGATGGCCTGTCAGGGAAGAGAAGGGAGGACAGGAGTGAGAAGCCAGAGAAGGCAGAGAAACCCGCTGAAGGAGAGGACAGGAGCTCACCATCGGGTCAGGGAGTCCTGGATGGCGTTGGTGAGTGCGTGGCCCAGGTGCAGGGAGCCTGTCACATTGGGGGGTGGGATGCACATCATGAAGATTCCCCGGGGATTTGGTGCTGATACGCTGGCACGCTGATGGGGGAGGAAGGATGGGCACATGCTAAGGCCTCCTGTCACCTCTCCCGGCACCACCCCCCAGGCAATGTATCCTCTGGCCCTGCCGTCCCCCTCCCACATCTCCTCCAGGCCAGGGCAGTGGAGCCCACTCACCCCGTATTCGGGCTTGAAGAAACCCTGCTGCTCCCACCAAGGATACCAGGCAGCTTCCACGTACTGAGGGCTGTAGGAGTCAGGCATGGCGCCACTGACATCTGGGGGAGAGAAGTGGAGGGTCAGTGCCTGAGGCTGGGAGCAGCTGGGCTTCTGGTGCTCACATCACAGGACCCTCACTGGGGGGGTGGGGGGAGATGTGCAAATCCTCACAAGCCAAGCGGTGGAAGCAATGACAGAGCAGGAAGGGGTAACACCAAGCAGCAGCAGCTGAAGAGGGTGGAGGTGAAGGGTGGGAGTCCCTCCCCCCTTCTAGTACCTTTCTTTTCCCCAGATGGGGTTCGGAGGTCGTAGGTAACGACCCCAGGATCCCGTTTCCCCCTCTTCTCTGGTTTTGGTTTCTTCTGCTTGGGAGGGAAGAGATACAGGCACAGATATCATCCAACTACACGTGCTACCAGCTTTCTTCCAGTCCTACCCTTAGCTTCTCACCTCCCCTGGGGGTGGTTGCTGCTGTTGGCTCTTCTGCTTCTGTTGGAATTTCTCTAGCTTCTCCCGTTTCTTTGCCTCTTTCTTGAGTTGCGTAGCCGTCTTTGGGGGTGCAGGGACCTCAGGGCCTAGGCAGAGGCACAGAAATGCCAACTTGGCCCATTGGGGATGCTCTGTGAACATTGCCACTATCTTTCAGATGGGCTATTCCAGCTGCCCCAATGCTCCCCATGCTGGTGTCCTACCTCACCCTTCCTCAGGCCCCCCCCCGCCAGTGATTCCCCCATTCGTAAGAAAAAAAAGAAAGTGAGCTACTTGGAAGGCCCAGAAGAACCCCTTGCATCTCACTCCCTACCCTTCCTCACCTGGCTGTTGGGAGAGCGATCTGGTCCCTGAGTACAGAACCACCTCTCCCAGCACTGCTCGGAATTCTGGCTGCTGGACACAGGTGATAAACCAGCGAGTCACATTACCCCAGATCCGGCGCGCAGAGGGGTCCAGGACCTGGGAAGGTGAAAAGAAATGAAATATCCTTAGTCACCCTATTGTGAGGTCTGAGGGGAGCTTCCCTCATTCTCTTCTAGGCCCCCGGTGACTTACATAACGGAAAGGTAGCAGCAAGGCTGTGACAGCTGCGAGGTCAGCCAGAGTGGGGGCCTCCCCAGCCAGGTAGGTGTGCAGCCGAAGCCACTCTTCCAAGGGGCTCAGAGCCCTCCCCAGGGCCTCCAGGGCAGCCTGGCAGTAAAGGGAAGAGGTATGAATACCGTAAGGCTTGGTCCACCCAAACCCCCCTCCAATCCAGGTGGTTCCCCCCCCTTCTACTCCACAAATCACCACCTCTGAGGTCAAATGGTCATAAAAATGTTCCCATTTGTTCAGTATATTCCTGCTCAACACTTACTATGTGTCAGATGCAATATATTAAGCACAGAAGTTAATGTAAAGATTACATGAGGCCACATTATTCTTGAAGAAGTGATTAAGTAGCTACTACAGGCCAGACACTTCTCTAAGGAATGAGGAGACAAAAACAGACCCTGACTGGTGGAGTTTACACTTAGTGGGGGAGACAGGCAACATGCAAATATATAACACATTACCCTATTTTTCTTCCTAAGTGCTCTAAAGAAAAATAAATCAGGCTGAGGTGGGTACATGGAATTCCAGAGAGGGGACCTCTATTTTAGACAGAATAAGCAGAATATGAGGAAGCAAGTCAGGGTCTAAGACATCTATTTCATTCATTCATTAATTCATTCAGGAAATACTAAGTCTCCACTATGTGCTCAGAACTCTGCAAGGAGGTGGTCGCTTTGAAGGACTCCTGACTACAATCTGGTACAGTTCTCTCTCCTCTTCCTTCCTCGCTTCCCTTATCCCTCATCTCCTCCCAGGAGTGGCCACCTCTTCCAGTCCACTTGCCTCTCATCTCTCCCTGACCCAGTCTTTTCCTACACTTTACAGTAACCTTGACTTTCATCAGTCTCAGACTCCTCAAACTTCTACTCCTAGACTTTAAAACATCTGGCACCAGACAGTGCTCTGCACACTTCTTTTAATCTTCTCAATGAGTTCCTCAACATGAAAACTTCCCGTCTCATCAATACGAAGACCAAGGCATCAGAGTTTAAGAAACCTGTCCAAGGTTATCATACCAGGTGGCAATCTGGGATTTGATCACTGTTTCTCCACATCTGACATTCGATCTTCAATACCCATTCCAATCTTCTTTCTTCTAAATTTCCCCCTCTCCCTCTTCCCTTCTCCCCAATCACCTGGGGGTCCTGGGCAGAGCTTCGGAGTCCCAAGGCCGGAAGCGCTGCTCCACAGGCAGCTGGTATGAGCTCCGTGTCGGCATAACTGACCCACTGTTGGACCAGGACGGCGGCCCGGCTACCGCCAGGGCCCCCCAGGCCTGCTGGCCACAGCAGCTGGGCCACAGCGGTGGCCCCCCACACCCAGAGCCCGCCGGGCCCCTGCTCCAGGGCGGGCAGGCGGGGTGGGGGAAAGGGAGTCCTGCTGGTCGGGGGTGGCTGGAGACAGATGCGGGGGTGGGCTCCTCCCCAGCCGGGTCCCTCCCCAGCCTCCCCGTAACGCGCAGCTATAAGGGCACGGAGGCTGGGGAAGGCATCGGGATGAGGGGAGACGTACAGGATGGACATGGTTACGCAGCGGGTCCTAACAGGGTAGATATAAACCTAAGGAGAAGGAAAGACAGGGAAAGACTGAGGGATCCAGGAGCGTCCTACTGGAGAAGACAGGGTACCCCCGTGGGGACTCCTGTACCGCAGGCGCCCGAGACCCCCAGGGATGGAGGTCTGATGGGGCCTTAAGAGACAAGGGCCCGGTTCTCAGAGTGGCAGTGCCAGTGGGAAACTCCCCAGGACCGCGGGTGCTCGGGAACTGCGGGAGTTTCGAGGTAGCCCCTAGGCGTCCAGCAAGACGCGGGTTCGGGCCGCAGGTACGTACTGGAAGGAGGTGGTCAGACCCAGACAGACAGCCACCTCACGGCCGTACGGAGCCTGGCAGCCGGAGCTGAGGAGTCGGGCGGGCGGGCGGGGAGCGTGGGCGGTTCTCCGGGCTACCCCAGCTCCCTGCGACCGCTGCCGGTCGGTGTATGCCCACGTGTTCTCCCCCCCCCCCCCTTTGTGACAAACGAGCGTTTCCGGGCCCGCAGGTCCTGGCGCGGGCGGCCGTGCTCCGCCTGCGTGTGCCGGTGCTGCCCTCCCCGACACTGGCGCGGGGTCGCGCCGCCCGCCGCCGCCCGCCGGCCGCGCACACGAGGGACCCCGAGCAGGGCGCGAACGCGGGAAGCAGAGGACGTCCCCCAGGACCGCCCTCCGGTCAGGCGCCACCGCGGGCACCCCGTGCGGGTCCTCGGGCGGGCCAGCAGAGGGCGGCGCCCAGCGGGCAGTCTGGGAACCGGCGGCCGAGACAAGAGGGGCGCCACGCCTCCTTCCTCCGCTTAGAAGAGGGAATCTAGCTGGACGGCCCATAAGGTCCTCTAGTGGTGAGAACTCATCTGTATAGAAAACTCCTATTCGCTGAATGAACCAGTTAAGAATTCAGTTAATTCCAGTTGTAACTCCACGATAAAAATTATGTCACTTGTTTGTATTAAACCGCTACGATTTGGCTGGGTTGAGGCGGCCATCCAGCACCATCAAATGCGTATTTGTGTCTCATAACATTAACTGTCAGGTTAACAGGTCAGAGATGGAAGGACAGCAAGTACTCATTGTGGGTATAAACAAAAGACCATGGTAAGCAGGCCACGTAGGTAGGAGCATGTTCAAGAAACATGGTGTAACCAGGTGAGGTATTCCATGATTTATAACAAGAAGTGGGGCAGACAATTCTGGGAAGTTGGGTTGGATTCTTGGCTAGGGTAATAAGAGTAGCAGGGCTTGGATGGAATTCCACATCCCGTTCCCACCCTCCAGGCTCTTTCTCCAAACATACACAGAACCAGAACTCAAATGTGCATCATAAGTTTATTCCCGATGCGGGACAGATTCCTTCCGTCCCCAAAACGAATCGCATGGTGGTGCCCTGGAGAAATCTAGGAGATTCTCCCCACTCCAGGGAAGGAGTGAGAAGGACAGGCGCTGAGGACAAGGTAGGCTTTGCGGTTTCCCAGCCTACTTATCCTCCCCTCCTCAACAGAGGAGAGCTGCTCCCCACTATTATTTCCTCTCATCCACTCATCCCTGAAATAATAGGAAAAAAAAAAAAAAAGGTTCCACTGTTAAAAAAACAAAACAAGGGGAGGGAGGGGTCCTGGCTGGGACTTGAGGTTAAAGGTCACCAACAGAAGAGGGACAGAGAGCAGGAGGAACCATCACTGCTTCTGCTGCAGGGCCTCCTTCCTTGCTGCGTCCTGTAGCAACTGTGTGTCAACCTCATCTGCCGGCAACTGCACATAGCGGACCACTGAGCCCCGGATGAAGCAGTTCTTCACTGATAACTAGACCAAGACAGACAAATATGAGAACACCCTTAAAAACATCTGCTATCCACCCAGGAGCGTCTGCTTTTGTTTCCTCTTCACCACTGCCAACTCACCATGTGAGGATATTTCTCAGGATCTGTGACACTGATGTCAGTTAGTTTGATGTTGAGATACTAAGAAAAGAAGATGAATACCATCATTAGCCCTAGAGACAACATGCAAGTATCCAGCACTGAAACTCTCCCCTCTCCTTCCCCAAGACCCGATTCTAGGCTCCTACAATATCTCACCTGATCCACAGAATGGAGGGTTCCACAAATGCTGTTGGGAGAGATGGGGGAAAGAACCGAATCAGTTTAAACCAAAATCAACAGATGTCTTCAGAGCATGGATAAGAACATCCATTGTGGGGATGAGCACTGGGTGTTATGTGGAAACCAATTTGACAATAAACTATTTGTAAAAAAAAAAAAAAAAAAAGAACATCCATGGGGAGTTGGGGGAAGTCAAGGACTTGAGGAAGCCAGAAAACGCAGAACCAAAAGGGGGCATTCCTAAACCCAGGAGCAAGAAAGACAATACTTTTACTGCAATATGTTATTTTTTAATGTTTATTTTTGAGAGAGAGAGAGAGAGCACGAGTGAGGGAAGGGCAGAGAGAAAGGAAGACACAGAATCTGAGCTGTCAGCACAGAGCCTGAGTCAAGGCTTGTACTCACAAACTGTGAGATCATACCTGTGCCGAAGTCAGACGCTTAACTGACTGAGCCACCCAGGTGCCCAAGCAATGTGTTATTTTAGATCTCATGTCTCCTCTCATAAAACCAACTCACTCTTTTTTTTTTTTTTTTTTAATTTTTGAGAGAGACAGAGCGCGAGCAGGGGAGATGGGGAGAGAAAGACACAGAATCCAAAAAAGGGTATAGGCTCTGAGCCGTTAGCACAGAGCCTGACATGGAGCTCAAACTCACAATTGCAAGATCATGACCTGAACCGAAGTTGGCATTTAACCGACTGAGCTACCCAGGTGCCCCCAAACCAACTCACTCTTAACAGCTACCATTAAACAACTGTTATGCACTAGGTCTGTGTTCCACATAATATTTGCAGTCTTTACAGCCACTTCACAAGGTAGCTATCACCCTCCAGGGGCTCAGAGATTGTGTGATGTGCCCAAGTTTAGAACAAACAGGGTACTTGAGTGCAGGTCTGTCTGATTCCCCAAACCATCTGCTATTTTCAAATATTTGCTGCTCTGGAACCAGAGCCCCATGTGTAAAGTAGATGAAGTAGCTTAACATTGTTCTTGATGCAGGCACAGGGATGTTCTCTCCTTTCTTCAATCCCTGGGCCCTCTGAAAAGTGAATGGGGAATGCTACCAGAACACCAGTGCTCCAAGTCATGCTCCTCTCTTTCCCAACTTCTTTACTTTCTGTCAATGGCTTCAACAGTCTTACAACTTCAAATCCTGAGTTGTACTTCACCATCCTCCATGACCCATGTGCCCCCATCATTTGATGACATTGGTCTAACATTTCTGTAATTCTCTTTCTAGTTTGACTTCTACAAACCAAGTAGAAGCCTCCATACTGGCCGCTCTCATCCTTACCACCCTGCATGTTATCACCAGATTCTGTGTTCCTTAGAACTGTGGTTTTCACTGATGTGTGCCCAAAGGTTTAAGTCTGTGACAAAAGAAACATAGATTAATGTGTGTTGCATGTGTATGTAGTGTGCTAAAGGTTGTCAATATGTTCTCCTTAAGAACTCTTTAATTGCCCTTACTGTTTTTTTGGTATTAACAAGAATTTTTAATGAAATGATTATAATAAATGGTAATTTTAGAAATGTCCTTATCTTGCCAAAAATAAAACTGGCAGTTCTCTGTGGATCCCTATTTTTGTTAAATTCTAAGTCTTTGAAATCCATCCATGGAGACATACTGCCTCAGTGGTGGCTTCCCCACATCCCCGGCTGCTGAAAGCCTTGACAGCACCCTACTACCATCTGCAACAGTGAAGTAACTTTCAGGAATTGTGTAAGGTCATTTCATTCAGTCCCTTAACAATATCTGGCAGAGGGGCGCCTGTGTGGCTCAGTCGGTTGAGCATCCAACTTTGGCTCAGGTCATGATCTCATGGTTCGTGGGTTCGAGGCCCGTGTCAGGCTCTGTGCTGACAGCTCAGAGCCTGGAGCCTGTTTCAGATTCTGTGTCTCCCTCTCTCTCTGACCCTCCCCTGCTCATGCTGTGTCTCTCAGAAGTAAATAAAACATTAAAAAAAAATTTGTTTTAAACAATATCTGGCAGAAAAATGGTATGACATCAAGCGTGAAAGAGCTCTTCCCCCAACCCAATGGACTACCTTCAAAACTAAGTCCCTGATGTAGGACATGGGTCATAAGCTATTATTGCCATATAGAAGACCCAGGAAGGCGAAGAGAGGAAAACAAAAGACAAATCATCTCACAGAATCGCCTAGGGTGGTTTTGGCTTCCACACTTGTCTCTCTCTATATTGCCCCAATCTATAAACCATCAATACCATATGCATCACTAGTACCATAAATGGAAATCTCTGATCTAAAAGGCAAGTCTTGTGCACCTGGCTCTCCTCAGTCGGAAATGCACGCAACTCTTGATCTCAGAGTTATGAATTCAAGCCCCACATTGGGTACAGAGACTACTTAAAAAAAAAGAAAGTCTTAAAAATAAGTAAATAAAATAAAAGGCAAGTTCCTCTCTTCATCATTCCTTGCCATAGCAATGTTTCCTCAACTAAGAAATTACCTCACAAAGAAACATGGAAGATATTGTTAGGAGATACACTGACTCAAAGTTTCTAGAGGGGCACCTGGCTGTCTCAGTAGAGCATGTGACTCTTGACCTCAGGGTTGTGGGTTTGAGTCCCACACTGGGTAGAGAGATTACTTAAAAATAAAATCTTAAAAAAAATTGAGGGGCACCTGGGTGGCTCAGCTGGTTGAAGGTCACGATCTCACAGTTTGTGAGCTCAAGCCCCACAACAAGCTTGCTCCTGTCAGTTAGCCTGTCGGTGCAGAGCCCCCTTTGAATCCTCTGTACCCTTCTCTCTACCCCTTCCCTGCTTGCATTCTCCCAAAAGTAAATAAATATATATATATATATAAAAAGTTCAGTATTAAGGAGGGCACTTGTGATAAGCACTGCTTCACTAAATTCTATACTGGAAATTAATATTACACTGCATGTTAACTGGACTTTAAATAAAAACTTGGAAAATAAAATTTTAAAAAAAGTTTCTAAAGGAGAGGCAGGTAACAAGTAATAATACTTTAAATGTACACTTTTTTCAAAGGATTTTTTTTTCCTAAAGAAAAAGATGTGTACAAAGATGCACTAATGAGGATATCCAGGGCAGCATCATTTGTAAAAACAAGGGACTGGAAACAGCCTAAATGTGCAACAGCAAAATCGGTTAAATTAGTTCCAGCCAGCTAATAAAAATGCCATGCAGACATTAAGGATGTTAAAGATCAACTTTATTGACATGGAAAATATCCACAACATACCATTCAAATGAAAACCAAGTTTCACAACTGCATGAAGAATATGACCCCGTTGTTTTTTTTTCAAGTTTTTATTTAAATTCTAGTTAACATACAATGTAATATTAGTTTCAGGTGTAGAATTTAGTGACTCAACAATTATATACAACACTCAGTGTTCATCGTAAGTGCCCTCCTTAATATATCTCACCCATCTAGTCCATTCCCCACCCACCTCCCCTCCAGTAATCCTCAATTTGTTCTCTATAGTTAAGAATCTTTTATCTGGTTTGCCTCTCTCCCTCACCGCCTATGTTCATCTATTTTGTTTCTTAAATTCCACATATGAGTGAAATCACATGGCATTTGTCTTGCTCTGTTTTTAATTTAAGAGAGCACATGCATGTGTGCACATACCAGACAAAACTGGACTTCAGTTCTGTGTCATTTAGTAGCTGTGCAGACTTGAGCAAGTTTCTTAACATATATATCTATGCTTCAGTTTCCTCATGTGCAAGACAGCAACAATGGTATATATCATATGGACATGTTATGAGAATTAAATAAAGTCATACATATAAAGTATTCAGAACAGTGCTTAGTTGATAGGTTCTCAAATGTTAGCTATTTTTCTTTCTTTCAGCACATACTTATTAAGCACCTACTATATACCAGGCCTATGCTAGGTACACACTGGTGAGCTGAAACAGGTTCTGGCCCTGTAAGAAGGACAGAACATAAACAGTAAACATAGTTTGAATGAAATCGCAATTTGAGAAGCATCCATTAGGAAGAAAATAAGACTATATGACAGACTCTACATGGCTAGAAGGACCAGGAAAAAAGTTTCTCCAAGGACACAGCATTTACTCCAAGTTCTGAATAATAATTAGGAGTTAATGATACAAGGGGGTAGAAGATGTAAAAGCAGCACAGACATAGCGATTGCATTGGTCTTTGGTTTACTCTTTACATTTTCTTTAACAAAAGGGAGACTGTACCATATATACTATTCTGCAACAGCTCTACATATCAATACATCCTATTCCTATGTGACAGCTGTATAATATGGAAGTACCACAACTCAATCAACCCATTCCCTGTACACAGCTATTTGTTTCCAATCTGGGGCTATTGCAAATAAAACTACAAACATCTTTGTACATACATCTTTACTTGTGGCACTGATTCGTACATTTCTATATGTTGGGTCAAAGGAGTCTATGATTTAATCAAAAACCAAACTATGTGTTCGTAAAGAAGAAAAAATGTTATTGATGACTTCTGCCCTCTTTCTAGTACTTTAAGCTTAAGGCATTGGTCATTTATTTCTTCTGTAGCTCTCCGTGCCCAGCACTCAAGTACTCGTCAAAGAGATTCCAGAGACCTGATATCTCTACCCACTAAAGAATAGGTACCTACCTCAGGTCATTCTTGAGTTCCACGACCACATCCTTGCCCACGAGGGACTTGAAAAAGGAGTAGAAGAGCTATTGGGCGAGAGGGTTGGAAAATCATCATATGGGAAGGCACACAGTAGGAGAAGTGCTCCGTTGCCAGCGTTCCCAAATACTGGCATTGGGATCCCCGCCCCGCCTCTGGCAGTTCTGAAAACTTCACAGGAAAGACTACTCGGATAAGGACGACGGCCTGGAGCGCAAATGATTCTGCACACACTCACTGAGCGCCTGGCTGAAAGCCCCAGCCAGACGCTCTGCCCTGCACTCCTCGGGCTCTCCCGGTCCAGCTCTCGATCGCCCACCTCTCCTGGGGCCCTGCCCATTCGCCCCAGAGAAGAAAATTGTATCTCATTCACACCTTCCCAAAGCCTGGCCTCCCTCATGGAAACACTCCCGGAGGTCTCGCTTTTTCCCCTTGTCCCCAACTCTCCGCGTTTGTTTCCCTCGTAAGTAAAAACAAAACAAAACAAACACCCCATTTGCTCCCAGGTGTCTCCCCCCAGAATTTGAGGCGTAAGAACTGAGGATGGATGGAAGACCCAGGGCCCAACTCCGGCCCCGCAGCTCTAAGCCTAAACGCCACCCCGCCTACTACAGCTCGCCCGCGCCCCCCCAGGGACTCCCCCCTTGTGACGTCACGGTACCTACCATGGTGCTCGAGCTGCGGCCGGCCGGACAGGGAAAGCGAGGGCCGGGAACGGCGGGCCGGGGGCCGGACGGCAACCGAGACGCTAGCCCGCGCGTGGGGGTGGGCGGGGTCGCGCAGGCGCCACGAGAAGCGCCGAGGAAGCTCCGAGTAATACCTACGGAGCGCGGCAGGCTCGCACCTCCGGGAGAGCGGGCAAGGGAGAGCCGAGGGGGCGCTAGACCCGGGGGAAGGGGCGGGTCTTCCTGCCTTCCCACTTCCTCCTCCGAGTGGCGGGCTTCCAACCACGCAGGCGCGGGCCCCAGCTGTATGGAGAGGGTCATTACCTCTTAGAGGTTTGGTGTCCTGCCCACCCCCCACCCACCTCCCGTCAGTGCCATCCACAGCATGGTCGTTCACACCCTACAGACATTCTGTTGAAAACTGTGGAGGATTTGTGAAAACTGCTGATTTGTACCCTTTTCTGTATCTGTTACACTTCGATATAAAGTTTAGAAAATAACGTTGTAGAATCCCCGAAATCAGGAGCCTGAGCACTCATCTTGATTCTGTCAAAGGTTCCCAATAATATGTTTCTCCCAAGGACCCAATCTCAGTCCATATTTCTCACACCCTTTAGCTTGTAAAGGACTGAGTAAAACCAAACAGAAGCTTGCTCAAGGGTAGAAATTCCCATTCTAATATTTCACGTCCAAATATTCCCACCCAAACAGAAGGGGGCACAAGTGCAGTGACACTTCTATACTCTCGTCCCCAAGGGTTTTATATATATGTGATATGACACAATAGGTGAAAATATTTTTCAATAAGACTACTAAATCCTCCATTTCTCATCTTGCACAGAAGTACCCATTTGTCAGCACTCTGTTGTAGAAATGTTTTCTGCATGTAAAGGATGTAATAATAGACTATGAGTACACAGATGTTGAATCTCCTGACCCCACCTGTAAGTGTCATAAGGACATCAAACAGAAGTGTGTCCCCCCAGCTGAACCCTAAGCACCTAAACCAGTCTATCACTGAGTATAAGCAGAATCTATAGTTAGTAACTGCTCTACCTAGAGCTAAAGGAGCCTGATGATCAAAAGTTAATTTCCTGCTTGACGGGCACCTGAGTGGCTCAGTTAGTTAAGCATCCAACTCTTGATTTTGGCTCAAGTCACGATCTCATGGTTCCTGGGTTCCCGCCCTGTGTCAGGCTCTGCGCTAATGGCAAAGCATGGAGCCTACTTGGGATTCTCTCTTCTCTCTCTGCCTCTCCCTGGGGTCACTCTTAGAATGAATAAATAAATAAACTTAAAAGAAAGTGATTTTCCTACTTGAAACAATTAGCTCATGAAAATTCAAATACTTTCTTCCCCTTACCAGTTTAGTCAATCACAATGAGTTCACAATCAGATCACATACACTATTCATTAACTCTTGTTTTTCTATTTTCAAGGTACAGTCTAAAGATACCAGAAAAGGGGTGCCTGGCTAACTCAGCCAGAAGAACATGTGACTCTTCATCTTGGGGTCATGAGTTCAAACTCCACTTTGGATATAAAGATGACTTAAATACATTTTTTTAAATAAAAATAAACTTCAAGAAGGTAAAAAATAAAGATTCCACTAAAAATTTGTTTTAGGCACAAATTTACTGAGTGACAAATAACCATCCACACAAGTAGAAGAAAGTTGAGAAGGTCGGAAATAAATAACAGACATTCAAATTCATCAAATGGTTCAAAGAGGGGCCTAGTTTTCCTAAGAGTCAGAACCAGGGATTGTGAAAAGATGGTATACAAGACTCTTTTGTCAGAATCTGAAAGGGATGGTAATAGGTTCAGGTCCATTCAATTCAAGAATCATAACAATGTTTGAAGATGAGGGGAACAAAATTCACCTTAAAGGCACCCTAGAACCCTCCAGCTCCAGATAAGATTAATCCACTTCTTCAATGGTGGGGCCTGTGGCAGCCCTTCCAGGAGTATACCCCGTCCCACAGGTAGGCCCAGTGCATCCTCCCTGGTAGAGTTTGGTGATGATTGGGTTACACATCTGCTCCAATTCCTTTCTCTTATGATCAAACTCCTCTTTCTCAGCCAGTTGATTGGCCTCCAGCCATGAAAGGACCTCATTGCATTTATCCAGTATTTTCTTTTTATCAGACTCACTAATTTTGCCCTTCAAGCCCTCATCACTCACAGCACTCTTCATGTTAAAAGCATAAGATTCTAAGGCATTTTTGGCAGCGATTTTCTCTCTCTGGACCTCATCCTCAGCTTTGTACTTCTCAGCATCCAGGACCATGCGCTCAATCTCTTCCTTGCTCAGCCGGCCCTTGTCATTGGTGATGGTGATCTTGTTGGCCTTGCCCGTGCTCTTGTCCATGGCTGTTACATTGAGAATACCGTTGGCATCGATGTCAAAGGTCACCTCGATCTGTGGCACTCCCCTTGGTGCAGGAGGGATTCCAGTCAAGTCAAAGCGCCCCAGCAGGTTGTTGTCTCGGGTCATGGCCCTCTCGCCCTCATACACCTGGATCAATACCCCAGGCTGGTTATCTGAGTAGGTGGTGAAGATCTGTGTCTGCTTGGTGGGGATGGTGGAGTTGCGCTTGATCAGGACAGTCATCACCCCCCCGGCTGTTTCCAACCCTAGGGACAAGGGAGCCACATCCAGCAAAAGCAGGTCCTGTACCTTTTCAGACTTGTCTCCCATCAAAATGGCTGCCTGTACAGCAGCCCCATACGCCACAGCCTCATCTGGGTTGATGCTCTTATTGAGATCACGACCATTAAAATAGTCCTGCAGCAGCCTCTGAACCTTAGGGATGCGAGTGGAGCCCCCTACTAGAACAATGTCATGGATCTTAGACTTATCCATCTTGGCATCCCGAAGAGCCTTCTCCACAGGTTCCAAGGTGCCTCTAAACAGGTCTGCACACAACTCTTCAAACCGGGCTCTGGTGATGGACGTGTAGAAGTCGATGCCTTCATAAAGTGAATCAATTTCCAAGTTGGCCTGGGTGCTGGACGACAGGGTCCTCTTGGCCCTCTCGCAGGCAGTACGCAGACGTCTCACGGCTCGCTTGTTCTGGCTGATGTCCTTCTTGTGCTTCCTCTTGAACTCCTCCACGAAGTGGCTCACAAGCCTGTTGTCAAAGTCCTCTCCACCCAGGTGGGTGTCCCCAGCAGTGGCCTTTACTTCAAAGATTCCATCATCTATGGTCAGGATGGACACATCAAATGTTCCTCCACCTAGGTCAAAAATCAAGACATGTCGCTCTCCCTGACCTGCTTTATCTAAGCCATAGGCAATGGCAGCAGCTGTGGGTTCATTGATAATTCTTAGCACATTGAGACCTGCAATCACACCTGCATCCTTGGTGGCCTGGCGCTGAGAATCATTGAAATAAGCTGGCACAGTTATCACAGCATTAGTGATAGGGTGGCCCAAAAAAGCCTCAGCAGTCTCCTTCATCTTTGTCAGTACCATAGAAGAAATTTCCTCAGGATAGAAAGCTTTATTCTCCCCTTTGTAGGACACCTTTACCTTGGGCTTGCCTCCTTCATTGATTACTTGAAAAGGCCAAAGTTTCATATCTGATTGCACTACAGGATCATTAAATTTCCTGCCAATCAGACGTTTGGCATCAAAGACAGTGTTCTGGGGATTCATGGCTACCTGGTTCTTGGCAGCATCCCCAATGAGCCGTTCTGTGTCTGTGAAGGCCACATAGCTGGGGGTGGTGCGGTTGCCCTGGTCATTGGCAATGATCTCTACCTTGCCGTGCTGGAACACCCCCACACATGAGTAGGTGGTGCCCAGGTCGATTCCAATGGCCATTCCCTTAGTAGCAGCCATGTTCTTCTGAGGCCTAAGAAGAAAAAATGAGATAAAGTTTTGGCAGAGTGCTTTTTTTTTTTTTTTTTTTTTACTTTTTTATTTTAGGAGAGGGGGAGAACACAAGCGAGCAGAGGAGGGGCAGAGAGACAGAGAGAAAATCTTAAGCAGGATCCATGCTCAGCATAGAGCCTAACATAGGACTGATCCCACAATCCTGAGATCATAACCTGAGCTGAAATCAAGAGTTGGATGCTCAACTAAGTGAGCCACTCAGGAAGCCTTATTACTTTCAATTGTAGGGAAAATACACATAATGTGAAATTTACCATATTAACCATTTTTTAAGTGTACTATTTAGCAGTAAGTTCATTCACATTGCTGGCCAAACAACCTCCAGAATTCTTTTTATTTTCAAAACTGAAATTCTACATTCACTAAACACACCTTCATTCCCCCCACCTCCAGCCCCTGACAACCACTATTCTATTTTCTGTCTCTATGAATTTGACTACTCTAGGTCTTCACAATAATACAATTATACAGTAATTTTTTTGTAATTTGCTTATTTCACTTAGCAAGATATCCTCAAAAGTTCATGTATGGGTTACAGCACGTGTCAGAGTTTACTTAAGCCTGAATAATATTCGTTATATAAATAATGGCATTATATAGGGGGCACATTTTGTTTATTCATTCCTTCCTTGGACACTTGGGCTGCTTCTACCTTATGGCTATGTGACAGTGATGCCATAACCTCCATGTACAAGGATCTTGCTAGTGTACAAGTATCCCAGTCTCTTCATTCACAGAGAGTACTTTTTGGACTAAAGTATTCTTAGCGAACTGGAAGGAAATGGGAGGACAGTTAGCATATTCTGCTTAATTTTCAGAGTGTAACTCAACTGTCCTGTTCCTTTACCTGTGACATTTTATTCTGAGATTGTACCTGTCTCCTGCTGAACTAAGATTATTTTTTATTCTAGTGTCTTCACCAGACGTTAATCTTCATCCTTGGGTTTAGCTGCCTTCCACAGCTCCTTTACCGTCCATTAGGTATTAGGTGGCTTAATATAGGGTCAGTCTGAAAACAACTACTGGGAACGTAATCAAACCCTCACAAACTTTCTCAGACGAGATAGAGCATGACAGGCAATCTCCTTCTCCAATCTTCTCTGGAATAAAACTATATGAAGATACTAACAGATCAGCTCCTCCACTTCTTTCCAGCAACTCTGACAAATACCACCCACGTTGGCTCCTTACCAAAAGATGTCCTTCTCTGATTAGTCAATGCACCCACAGAGTAACACTACAAAACCTTCCAGCACTTCCTCAAACATGGATCTACTAATCTTGCCTATTGCCATTTCATTTCAATCAGAGCCCTCCTGGCTCA